GGCTAAGAAAAGTTTAGTAAATCTGAGTTAATATGGTCAAAGAGAATTCCAATGAATCTGTGTTCAAGTGAACTCTAAGGGCAAAGCCTATTTTTTAGTGAGTCTGAGCGTGCTGCACAATTTTTGCAGACCTATGCCATCTAGTCCTCAAGCCAAGAGAATATTTTTTTTTTTACTTAATATACTGCAGGCTCGCATTTCATTGATGATAAATTGAGATGCATTTTTTTCATGACGAAAATTCTCTCTAGATGTGATCAATCAGGCGTGACTAAATGTTCTGATGAAAGATCTTACAAGTGAGTCTTGCTCTTTTGTATGCAACAAATGAAGTGCTCCTGCTATTGCTTCTTATAACTTTGTTCCCTTTCACATGATAGACAGCTCCGCTCTTGTGAGTCATTCTTCTCTGCCAGTTTTTCTCCTTATGACTTTGCAGCACTGAAACCTCGCCATGCTGCAGGTATTGTTCGATCTCAAAACAAAGACCATCAGATGCCAAAAAAAAAAAGATTTGTATGAACGCGTCTTTAAGAAGCAACCTGTACAATGGGCTGTAGAAAAATACAACTGGGCGATGAATATGGCTCCTCACAGAGCACAGAACTCCCATTGCAACCAATAGCTCAGCCCTAAAAATTTTTTGCAGCGATAAAGAAACTTCTTGTGTCTTTTCAGCATAGCACTTCATCCATAGCTTAAAGATAAAGTTGAATAAGCGTGTACCCATCACAAACTGGAAGACACTGCACTCGTGTGGGAACTGTCCATCGTGACTCGGCAAACTCACTCACGAGTCAACTCTCTCGGACTCGCTCGGAATTGAGCCGCGAATCTGAGCAAGTCGAGGTGTGTAATATTTTCAGAGTCTGAGTCCAAGTGAGTCCGGTTGAAGATAATTTTCATGAGTGTGAGTCTGAGCGAGTTCGGCACAGAAAAATTTTGGCGAGTCTTAGTTTGAGGGAGTTCAAAGCGTAAAATATGTTCGTTGAGCGGGTCTTGGCGAGTCGCACCATCTTTTTCCAACCTAAGGTCCTATCAAGTCATCTTCAGCGTTACTATCAGCCTTACTTGGATTTACGTTTATACTCGTGTCTCTCGCAGGTGTTTCAAAGCAATGTGGTTCATACACCGTTTTGATATTTACAAATTAGAGGCATCAATCACGTAGGGGGTGCCTTGACATCCCCCACCTGACTCTTCCAGGGAAGTTCTAGGTTATAATATCTTATGCTGTCACCTCTTCCAAGAAAAATGACCTTGCTGGTTTGGAAGCACTCGGTACTAGTTTTTAGAGACACTACGTCAAACGGCACCAAAAGAGAACCGCTTACGTGAGGCATATGTGCCAAAGAGCAGACACCATGGTTGAATAAGCTGATTCTAGGCTGATGGACGCCCCGCCACAGTGGTCTAGTGGTCTCGGATGCTGACCCGCAGGTCGCGGGATCGAATCCAGGCTGTGGAGGCTGCATTTCCGATGGAAGCGGAAATATTATAGGCCCGTGTACTCAGATTTGAGTGCACGTTAAAGAAGCCCAGGTGGTCGAAATTTCCGAAGCCCTCCACTACAGCGTCTCTCATAATCACATGGTGTTTTTGGAACGTTAAACCCCACAGATCAATCAATAGACTGATGGACTTATGAGTCAACTTACTCGGACTCACTCAGACTCAGATTAAGCTATGGGTCGGATTCTGAGTGAGTCCGGGTGAATAATATTTTCGTAAGTCTGAGTCCGAATGAGTCCAGTTGAAGAAAACATTCGTGAGGACGAGTCCGAGCGAGTCGGGCTCAGTAAAATTTTCCTGAATCCGAGTCTAAGCGAGTCGAAAGGTCAAAATGTATTTCATAAGCGAGTCTGAGTGAACTCCGTAAGTTTTGCCGACCTATGCTGTCCACACCACGACACGTCATCAAGACTATGATCAGGAACTAGTCAAATTATTTTAACATTGCCATCTCTGTATAACACAGTGTCTGGCATGACATTTTCTAAGAGCACCAATCAGTGATTTTACCATTAAATAACCAAAAATGTTACAGGCCGAGATCAAGAGCCCAGGTGTCACTACAAACGCAAGTGGCTATTAACATGCAGCCCGTTTCCAAAGCTGTATCAAATAAGAATTACATAGTATTTCTGTGATTTAGAAGGTGATTTATAATCTAACAGTTGTGTAGATGTTAGTCTAACAGGCTTATTGCAGACACTGTATGCCTGTTCAGTAATGCCCTCAAAGCTGAAATATTTCCATCATGTACAAGAAAAATAATTCCATGGACACTTTAGAAAAGCCATACCCTTCAAATAAAAACACCTTCAAATAAAAACACAACGCTGCTTGTGAGTACTTCCAATACAGATGGCAAACACAACGAATATATTTTTTGTAATGTTGGATGTAGTGAGAACAAAGTATATAGAATTGTAATTAAGCACTTTGATGAAGAGAGTTCGAATTCTGCGGAAAACAACTCTTTCCAAACTTGCACGACTTAATTTACCATTAACATATCAGTCAACAAGAAAACCTCTGAAATGTCAATATTTCCTTCTTCGAATTCCACTAAGTTGCAAATCTCATCTGTGCTGATCTCCTGTTGATTTTTTCCCTCTTGCTTAGATGCAATGTCCCGTTTCACTTGCACCAGCTCCGCACACAGTGCCTCAAGCTGCGCTTTCAGGTTTGCATTAATCTCCTGAAGCGACGCTATGGCATTACGAAGTTTATTAATCCATCTTCCCCCACCCATCTCTGGTATGCCATCGCCCCTCAGAGGTGTAGTGTTTGCTTCCTGCACACCGAATTGATGCGTTGCGTGGCTCTTAAACATCTCGTGAAGTGTGCTGCAATGCTCACAAGAGCCACCAGGGTTGGTCGGTATGATTTGGCAACTGTTGTGTCTCCAACGTCCAAAAGAGTCAATATAGGCACATGTCAGTTCGAATGGCAAGTAAGACTTCTTGTCAGGTCCTCCGCTGCAGGTGCCAACAGAGTCCAGAGCTTTGAGCAATCGTTCTAAATCGGTAGCATTCGACAGTTCTGTGCCCACACCAGGGATTGACTGCACCGACTTTCCCATCACCGAGATGAGCACAGACATGTCCCTCTTGACGTGCACGGTTTTGAGGGTGCGGACAGCCATCGCTGGGGGCTCGTGCACCACAACGATTTCTGAGGCCACTATATCACGGAAACCATTTTCCTCAACGCAGTGAATGGCCCACGAGCTGCTTGGTAAGCCAATGTGTTTTGCTGCTACAAACAGTTTGTCAAATGGGGCCAACGTCCTCGTCGCTGATTTGTCCGTGCCGGTCGACTGCCGTTTGGCAATGGCACCCGGCGAAGTACATGCTTCACTGCTAGGAGAGCCAAGTGAATGCGATGATGGTTTGTCCAAACGCACAACAATAGGGTACTTTACACTCACCGAGGATCCGTTTTCACGAAGCGTAGCGTCACCCGGTTCTTTGCTGCGTGTAAGTGAACTGCTTCCCGACACCTTGCTCCCGATATTCGCCGACTGCCGGGACGGCTCCTTTTCGACAACGTACGTCTTGCTCGGCACCGCTGTCATCATCGGAGCCCAGTTTGCGTCTGCGGCAGTCCTCGACTCGGCGCCGCTGCTCTGAGCATCACGTCTCGACGAAACCCACGCGCGGTCCCCCGCTGCACTTTTGACTGCTCCGGCACCGCTGTTGAGCTGCTTGTAATCAACGCACCGTCTTCTCCGCTTAGCCGCGCAAGAACTTGGCTGCCAGTTCTCAACCATAACCTTGCCCCTTTTGCGAGGCTTCGCGGCGTTCGTCGAACGATCCGCAGGTTCCACTGGCGACGGGTCGAATACAGTGGGCACGGCGTCGCTCGTCAGGGCGGGAATCTCTCTCTCGCCCTGAATGATGCGGCCCTTGTACTCCCTCGTCCAAGTTCTCAGAACGAACTGCGAGTCGAAGTGCCTTTCGCAAACTTTGTCGCGCCGGGTTAGCTCCTTGTCACTGCGTCCGATCTTTCGCGCCCACTCCGCGCGCCTATCGGCGTCCGAAGGAGTAGCGAAGAGAACCAGGCGTTGCGAGCAGAGCGGAGTGCCCGTGTTGCAATTGGGAACGAAGCATTTGACCATCTTGTTGCTCGACGCCCTGCGTCACGAACGCAAATGGGACATAAATTGCTCAACCACCGTAGCTGCTGTCGGTTTTAAAAAGGCTTGTTCGCTGCATTACACACTGCGTGGAATGAATCAAGCACCGAAGCATGTGTTGAACAGGGCGGCGATTTCCGCGATCCTTTTGCACCAAGAGATGAACATGCCCAACGGCCGTACCATTCCCGCGACAAGCTCAATATTTGAAGACTGGTACAGGATTAGCTACAATTCTTTAGGAAGTTGAATACTGTTCACAAGAATACCGCGAACACGCACTTCTGCCGCCATGATTCAACTTTTCATAACATTTCTGCTTTTATCGTTTAATGGAGAAATAAAAAATGCCTCTGTTCGTCGGGTCGGTGGGTAGCGCCCTCTAAGATGTCATATATGACGGGTTTTTGCAATGGTTTTGTTTGCCTAATTTTTTTTTTATTCTAGCTGGCCGGTTTGTCTGCCGTTCCTTCTCAAATTGTTTCATTCGCGCAACGGAGTTTTGTGACGCATCGGTAACGCAGGAGGATGCGCTGAAATGAAACTTGCAGTAACTTCCAAGTTTTCTCTGCGTGGCAGAGAACACATAAAATGGGAAATGAAAACATGGATAAGATTTGTAATTTATTCTCTTCCTTGCTTTTACAAACCAATATACTCGCTGCGCACTTGTTTTACATACATCGATCTGCTTTGAAGAAAGCGTTTCAATATGTTAGTGTCTAAAACACAACAAAAAAGTTCAACAATTCACATAGTTTTATATTTCACTTCCATTCGGATCCGCATGACCTCGCGTTGAGTCATGCGTTTCAGTCATGTTGAGTCAGTTGAGTCATGCGTTTCATGCGAGTCATGCAGTGTTTACCTATACAGCCCTACATTTTTCCACACCTAAAGTCGGATATCTTCAGCCGCGTTGCCCCAGCTAGCTTTTTCGGCCGTACCATATGCGCTCGACCAGACGGTTGTACAGCTCGGGCCGTCGAAGTCTTAAATAGCTTTCCACTTTGCCTTCTTGTGGTGGACCTTCCTGGTCAACGCCAAGCTGAGCAGAAAGCGCCGCGATGTCCGCGGTCGCCCTATCAACGGCTCCGGCGAAGTCCGATCCATCGTCCGACTCGGCGAGCACGACCTCGATTTCGCCGACCGAGAAGCCCCAGTCGGTCTCGTCAATGTCGACGACGACCTTTCCCGGCGTCCTGTAGGTTTTGCGGTCGGTCTTTATCACCGCCAACTCCCGCAGCGTGCCGTCGGCGACCAGGTCGTCGACCCGCGATACGCCCTCGGTGTGAAGCACTTCTCCGAGAGTCGCCATTATCTGGCTGTCACCACGCTCTTCTCTATATGCGGTGGCTGGACCACAAGACACGTCTCCCTGCTTGCGATGCTTCAACTCCCACGTGTTCCTGTTATCATCTCCGCGAAGTCTGAGCCAGTGGTCGCGCAGGCAAAGGGTGTAATCTTCTGTGTCGTAGTATGTGTCGACGAAAGTCTTTCGCGATACTAAGCGGGCTCCCAGCGCGAGTAGACGTCGCTGGATGTCCGGAGGCACCTTGAACTTGCGTTCGACCTCTCGGCAACAAGTGGGAAGCTCTGCTGCCGCCATACTTTGAGTTACAACATAAAACTTCACATACACCGCATTCACAGTCCCGCCATTTGTGCTGCTAGGAGTGGTGAAAACTAGTAGAGCAACCGAAGCAATGCTTTCTTGGATCAGTTGAAGCCGGCAGGCTATGGGATGCTGGCCATACTGCTATGGGCAAAAGCAGACGAACCGTGGGACTCGCAACAAAGTAACGTCATTCGCGCTCATTCTGGACATAGAGTTTCATAGTAGTATTTCTTGAAAACTTTGTAGGAATTGTAGCAGGTAGCCATTATTTCGATGATTAATGCTGCCAATTTTCATATGCTGTTAGCTAAGAGACCACTGCACACTGTGTGCGCTTGCGTTTGTACGTGCAAAACGCAAAAACTGCGCTGCCCCGTGTGGATGCGGTTAACTTCAATGAGCACAGCTAATGCCGACTCATTTTTCATGCATTGATACCTAAATTTTCATCATTTCATATAATTCATCGTCTTTTCCATAGTTGTCTAGAAGACATTTTTGTAGGCTCACTACTTCCACTAATTCCCATTGTGACATGGTTTACTCTTTTAATGCTCATATTCAACACATATACCGTTGATAACAGGAAGCAGTTTGACCTTGGCTTGGCTGACTTGGTGGTAATGGAAAGCTGCTGTGCTCATGTTTTTTACGAAAGAAAATTTTTTCAACCTTTCTGCGTTAAACACAAGGAATTTCAAGCAATCAAAAGGCAGCATGCACATTTAGGTGTGTGATATGCTGCACAAATTATCCAGTGACTGTCAGGGGCAAAGCCAGGGGTTGGCACACTGGGCCTATGCCCCCTCCCAAATTTTTAATTTTTTTTTTTTTGACCATGGCATAGGGAGCGAAAAATGACCGTTTCAAGGAGGTGGCCCTCCCGAAAAAATTTCTGACTACGCTCCTGGCGACTGTGTGGGTGTCAAATGAGCAACAGGTTTCTTACCCAGTACGTTTAAAAATTATTACTCTAATAAATATGACAAACTGCAGGCTTCACCAGGTGTTCACAGACACATTAGGTTAAATCAGAGTAGGACTCAGGTCAAATCCACAAAGTTTTGCTTGTCTTTGTTAGACATGGTCTACTGTAACTCTGGCATGCACCAGATAAGAATGTACTTTTGTCTCTGTGAACTCACTGATGCAATAAACTCTTCCTTTGCTGTTTAAATGTAACATAGGCTGCAACATGAATCAAACGCACCAAAGCAGAGGCATTGTTCGAGAGGCTCGTTTCTTTGTCATACAGGTCTAATCAAACCAAGGGAAGCTGTGGGAAGCATACAGGACATTATTTTTTTTTTACCCTAATGCAACGATTGTGACCTTAATTTTAAGGTAGTATCCAAACCCACAACCTTCTATTTACGTAGCCTATTACACATCTGATACTTTACCAAGTGAGCTATAATTGAAGGCACCCCCGTGCTGTTTGATTGCAGGGGAGTGACCTCCGTCATAACTCCAATAACCTGTCTTCTGGCCCCAATGACGGACTAAATTCGCCTCAAAGACCAGTCGCATGTTCTGGTGAGATGGCACTCATTAGTATTTGTCGGCACTTCCAACAGTGTTATGTTGTCAGATATGAATTACAACTGTGTCTGACTGCGACAAAAAATCTTTGGTCAGCGAGGCTGCTAAACAAGACACACTAACTGGGGTTGAATGCTTGCATAATGTGGGAAAGAAGGGAGGAGAATAACACGTCACACCCGTTTTGCAGTATCCCTCTCAGTGACACCCTTAGTGCATAGCAGTGCATTAATACGAGAGCTAGGGAACCACAGTGTGCAAGGCAAGGAAACGAAATTCCCCATGCATCCACACTGTTTGGGTTTGTGCAGGCATTGGGGGAAGGAAGTCCTCTTCAATACGCATGATGTCTTCAAGAGACTTCACGTTTCACGAGAATAAAAACTGATTACGATTTATAAGTTTTATATGATTTCAGTTCACAATTTCTGCTCCAAGAAATTAGCCAAGGGATCACTGAAATGATATCCCTTACTTGTGCTATCTTTCTCTGAAATTTCATAACCACTGCACAAGCACAGTAAACAGACGAAACTGACCTAGCTACTTAAATGCACCCGTGCTGACCTTTCATTTTGCCTTAATATTTTAGAAGAACTGAAACCTGGGTGAATTTATTATTCATATTTATTATTCATAATGAAACTAACACATAAAGTCACCGAGATTTACCACATAAAGTGTGAATCCGATATGAAGGTCTACTGCTTTTCTCAGTAGTGGGATTGTTCATCCCATCAGTGAACTTTCAGTTATATTCAGCGACAAGAAATTCACACTTTTAAATTCCTTATGAAGTTACTAGCTGTTTCTTCTGTTTTTGCATAATTCACAACTAATTTTCCAAATGCTCAGTGATGACTGCTGGTGCTCACATGGTCTGCATTTCTAAAAATAAACAGTTTGTAGTTAACTCTTGTTGGATTCCAATGGTAGAGTAGGAGCAAGTTTTTCTACTCCTTATGGAGTTGGTGTACGTGTTTCCATGGTAGAAAGAGAGCTGAAGTCAAGTGTTCAAATGAGAGAGTCGGAGTCGATACAGAGCGGGAGTGACTCAGAGGAGCAGGAAAAGTTGCTTGAAATCCGTAGAGTGGACCGGGAGTCTGCATGACGCACTCCCTTCAACATGTTTGCCGCATAGGGTGCCGCCACTGTTGCGGCATGTTGTCAGTAATGACGGACAATGTGACAGACTGGGATGTCGAGCTACTTCCTCAGCTCGATTGCGACAGTGCCAGTCGGAGAGCTCCAGTTCTTGCACTCTCAGTTTATTTAATTGCATCACCGACACTGAAACTACTACATACAAGTGGCAATTCTGCAGAATTCGACAGTGGAATTAGTGTAATGGAATAACCATGTTCAAAGTATTCTGGGCAACTCAAGGATTTCTGCTTCCTCCTTGCTTCCATGCTTGCTCCGTCAGTGCGGATTGTGTTGCAATCGCAGATTCAGAGGCGTTGCTCTACACTAGTCGAGTGCTCACTCACAGAGTCCTTTACCTACTTTGACTCTGTCATTGGAATTCAATATACGTCGTTGTCTTCTGCGTGCACTAAAATTTCATCATGCATTGTTTAAATGTTGTAACATTGAGTTTCTTTTGCCACCTTTTACAGTTGCTTTTTGACTTGATTTCTTTTCAGAAACATCAGCAGTCACACTGAAGACTTGCGTCAATATGTGGACTGGAGGGAAGCGTGGCATGAAAACATACAAACGTCTTGCACATGAAATTGTTGTTACGCTGTTGTTGTTTATGTTTGGGCGCTTTGTGAACTGCAGAGCCCTGCAGTGTCAAGCTTAGATAAGCTGTTCCAAGATGGGCAAATGAGAGACTAATAGCAATGGTCATTTTTGATAAGGAATCAGTTGAGATCACTCAGGTTTCAACTGCCTGCATGTTTGTGGCACTATCGTGGCTGTTTTATTGTAGGTTACCCCGAATAGAAGTGCTGAAAACATGTGTCACTTTGAGAACTTGTTTTTCATAAAGCAATGCACTTCTTTACGAAAAGATTCACAGGATTACCAAAATGTAAACTTGTCAATAGTAATTAGTTCTTGGTGTAGTCAAGTGCGTCTTATACTTGGCATGTTCTACTGGGACAAGCATAAGCCAGGTGATCAAGCTGTCTATCAGGGTCTGTCCGAGAACTGCACACCAACTAAATGTCTTCAGAAGCATTTGTGAATCACTATGCAACTGTTTCAGCAGCTATGTGGAAGATTGGGCTAGGTTGTTTTTTTCGCCATGTGATCACAACATTCCTCACCTGTCTGTTTCTGTGTGCACTTATTCATGCTCGCACTACAGTCACATCACTACATTTTATAGAAGGATCAGTTTCTGAGCAAGTTGGTATTAAAGATGGCACTAGGCAACAAGCAACATGAGATGAGGTACACTTTTTTCAAAGCCTCCCCATTCCTCATAGCTCATTTGACAGCAAAGGCTGTTCGGATTATGAGGGCTGATTCCGGCGCTGTAGCTGTCTGCCACTGCCAGTGTTTGTAATCACTATCGCGCGAAATAAGAAAACTAATTAAATGAAAAGACCGAGCACAGAATGGGATTGGAACCCAGGCCCTCTTCGTGGCAGCCCAGTACTCTACCAGCGAGTTGTGCCACTGCTTGAAACTCTATTGGAAACTGGCCCTATGCGGCTTGATTTTGGGTAAGGAATCGCATTGACATATGTAATAAAGCATTTAAGAATGGTAAAGTCACAACCGAGCATCACACAATGTGAATTGCATAACAACTGGGTCGCTGAATGCTCCAACCTATTACAAAAACCTCAGCACAATTCTTCGTCATCAGCGACAGCATCCACATAGTGCACATAACGTCATACAAATGCGTAGCAAGTGCCTTGAGTTTTCGAAAGATGACGAATTATGGAACAGTAGACACTTCACCACTACACAAAAATTATGATGATTTATGGTGTAGTGGGTACCATCCAACTGCTCAGGTTTGTAGAAAAGGGGTCTCCACCACATTGCTTGCGAGTCTCTTGCTCAACGTGCTTTATCTCCCGTGTCAAGTCGTCCAGCTCCTGGCGGGTGGACTCAATCCGCCGCTCCAGCCTCTTGTTGGACTTCTGGAGCCTGTACTTCTGTTTGCGAAGCAGCAAGATGTCCTTGTTAATCACGTTACTCGGGATTCGTACGCTCTCGTAACCAGCTCGTTGCTGGCGCATTTTACGCTCCATGTTGAGCCTAACCGTGGGATCCAGGCTGCGGCAGGGCCTGCACAGTTCGCCCGGTTCCGTCAGCACGAGCGGGCAGCGGTTGTGCCTCCAGGCGTCTAGGCCGTCAAGGTACGCGCTCTCCGGCTCCGCGCCGGGGTACACCTTCTTGTTGGGGCCTCCCCTGCAGACGCGCAACGCGTCCACGGCCTCGAGCAGCCACTCCACGTCGGCACCGCTGGCGACCTCGAAGGGGACTCCCTCGATGGTCTGGACCGGAACGCCCATCAACGAGACGGCCACGCTGGCGTCGCTCTGGATGGCGACGGTCTTACGGAAGTACACGGTGGTTATTTCGTCCTTACCGGTCAACTCGGTTTTGGGAAGGTGGAGGGCCGTGATTTTGGGCACGTGCTTGACCAGCACCTGCGAGAACACGATGTCGCGGACGCCGTCCTTGTCGATGCAGTGGACGGCCCAGGAGTTTCCTGGCAGCTTCAGCGTCTTTGCGATGTCGAAGAGACGATCGAAGAGATTGTTCGGGACACCCGCTTTTTCGACGACGGCAGAACTTCGCGGACCGTTCTCTGCGACGCAAAGGCTGAGAGACATCTCCCTGCCGTTCGTCTTTTTCTTCAGTTCGAAGTTTTCTTCAGTTAGAAGCCATTTATGCGGCCTCGCTGTTCAGGCAGCCGTCGTCAGCGTCTTAAGTTCTACGCTTTCACGATGTCGCATGGTCGATGCAGGCGTTGGTCGATGTTTTGCCACATGATAAGTTTCAATTTGACTGGAAGGTCGGCACAGACGACACAGGTTCCGGACGCGGAGCACGGTTCGCCTTCGCTCACTTGCTCATTGAGCGTCAGCTACTGCTCTCCGCTGGGCAATCGACTTTATCAAGGGGTGTACCGCGCCAATCCAGAGGACACCTACCGCAGCGCATCGGAGAACATTGCCAACATTCGGTGATAATCAAACAATCCACCACTTTGCTGTGGACAACTCTAGGCTCTATGCTGTCATGGATACGTTACTCTAGTCATTGAAGAATGCCTCCGTGCTATGCTGTGGACTGAGTGTGCGGGCCAAAGACCTTGGTGCGCGCGCGATCAACGAACGTTGGACCACAGAACACCTAGTTGGACAAACTAAAGGGTTCCTTCCTCAACTCATCGATCGTGCTTCGAGAATGTCTCGCCTGCCATATGTTATCTGTGGTCGACAATGTCATGCTTAAAAAACTTACTTATTGTTATAGACAAAATTAAAGGTTAGACATACACAAAAGGTGATCAGTTAGGTTTTATAAATTTTGTGGGATCAAGCGGTAGTGTTCAAGAGGGCGGCCCACAGCTGACGAAGGCCGGCAACCACAGCTGTTTCCTTCCTCCATGACGGCAGAGTCAAGTTCAGTTTATTTGGCGACAAGATTGCCTTTGTTACATAACGTCAAAACGTAAAGTGCGTTTGGTCGTGCCATTTTCAAATAGCTGTGTGCATTAACATAGCTAATTACTAGTATAGGTGGCCACCCGCGCTCCACGCCTAAATTAAATGGAGTGCTCAAGGAGAGGTGAGCTCACTTGCTCATTCGCGCACTTTCGCATCCCGATAACGTGCTTGTGCATTAAACTTCATCACTGCTGCCGACAATCATTGATTTTCCGATGGCTGTTTTTTTTTTTTTTTTTGCAGTGCGCAAGACGAATTTGCCTGCACGATTTGAGTGAGTTCTTTTGCTGCTTTGTTTTCTCCCTTTCGTTTCAAGCGCTTGTGTTCGCTGACATGCACACGGTGAGCTCATGTAAAGCATGAGCAGGTTACTACCGGTATGGTGCTCCTTGGCGAATGTCGTGTAATCACAACGAACCGAGTGCGTATATGTTTAAATGCATGCGAGCCTCAAGCCCATCGGAGTGTGTGTGGGGGGGAGGGGGTTGGAAAGGGAGGTGTTAACTGATATGAAGGGTTTGACGTCCCAAAATCCCCATATGATTACGAGAGACGCCGTAGTGGAGGGCTCGCGAAATTTCGACCACCTGGGGTTCTTTAACGTGCACTGAAATCTGAGCACATGGGTCTTCAGCATATTCGCCTCCATCGAAAATGCAGCCGCCGCAGCCGAGATTCGATCCCGCGACCTGCGGGTTAGCAGCCGAGTACCTTAGCCACTAGAGGGCAGAAGGGGAGCTGTTCATTGCGATGCCCGCCCTCCTAGCTACTAACTCAAACTGTACCCAACAAAAAGTGGTGATGTGCGCACGCCTATGCTCAAACATGTCGAGATCATTTTCGCGTTCAAACAGCGGAAGTAAAATCAGCGTCTGCTTTCAGTAGTGCCCATTGGCTAATCTAGCGGGTGGAACGATCGTCACAGCGATTAGGAGTCGCGCTGCGCGCTACGTCACGCGCAAGTGCTGGTCAGTAGTTCAATATCCTTACCTTATGCATATGCATGCACCTTCAGTAATTCAATAACTTCATTCAGTCAAGTCATTCCGCCACTTCCATAAAGAAGAAAGCACGTGAAACTTGTTTTGGCATCATGTAATCTATGGTCCTAGTACTACTTCAACAAGTGCTCACATGTAGAAGTTAGCGCCGTGAGCTTCATTTTTCAGTGGTGCTTCAAGCTGAAAGATCTTATGACTGTGCCAATTTGAGCCTGAACCCATTTGCTTTTATTTGTTTTGTAGGCATGTTGACAGTTCTTTGCGTAATTTTATTCAGGCATTTCGACCTTGATGATGACTCCGGTGATGCATTGGACGTTACTGTCGAAGAATGTGCCAGTGCTGCAACAGCGCAAGATGTAGCGGGAGTTAATGTCAGCACTCCCGGTAAGTGGCAGCTAATGAAATTGAGGACCCAGGCAAAATAATGTAGTATATTTGTGTGACTCGCAGAGGTTTTTATTTTATTTCAAACACGACCCGGTGTATCTGCTGCAGATCACAAGGCTGTGGGTTTGATTCCACGCCTCTGTGACAGCATGTCAGAGTGGTAGTGGGTCACTAGATGCCAGTGTGTGATGCGTTGGCCTTACCTTAAAAGATCACCTATATTTCGTGCGTGACAGGTCGACAGTGCTCTAGCACTTTGCATTACTGAACTGAGGTTAAGGAACAGATGCTACTCCTGGTACCCGGCATCTTCAGTGACATACGATAGGTATAACGCCTACACCAAAAGAAGAAAAAGGTTTATTAATCCTTTTAGACACTGTGTACACAATTGTGAACTCTACTCATTTTCGCTCTTTGCCTCAAGTAGAGGCTAAGAAAAAGCAATATATTTCATACTTATGATGAATTGAACCTCTTGCATAATAATACATTTATCTTCATTTCACCTCATTGTGCCCTGTACTGATACAAACGATCACTTTTCTGAAGAAACTACCACGTTCGTCGAGTCGTGCGACGTGCTGCTTCAGGCAAGCAATGTAAGAAGCAGGATCTTTCTTCGTTCAAAGTGGACATAGCCAAAAATGAATTTGCTGTTTATGCCAAAATTAAGTATCAATGACTTAAGGGTAAGGACATCTAGATTACAAATTAATTAGGATAATTTTTAACACACATAAATTCAAAAATTATCTCATAATTATTGTTGCAGTAGAATATTGAGTGTGGCTTCAAGTAACATAGTGATTTGACACATTTACAGACAGTTCTTCATAGGTGACTTCTGAAAGGGTTATAGGGACACTAAAGGCAACTATAAAGTCGACGTTGATTGTTGAAATAGCGGTGCAGAAGCCTCATAGTGTTACTTTTGTGCCAAGGAAGGGCTTATTTTGAAATAAACTCATGTTTTAGTGGCCCGCATCGGGTTAGCGCATTCAAATTACTGCCTTAGGAAGTGGACCGACTCACACGACTGTTGCCATACACAAGGTTGCCCGAATTTACTGTGTGGTCACCGACAGTAGTAGGCAGAATGAAAGCAGCGGGAGCCACAGCAGCAACAACCATTGATCAATTTCCTGAGATTGGCTCCGAGATGGCAGACGTGTTTTTGTTCAACTAGGTGGCACGACCTGTCCAGTGTAACCATGCAAAAATTGGATTTCTGAACCACTCGCATCATTTCCCATTGTAACCTCCGGCGGTTATTTTTTCCACGAATCAAACAGAAATGAACAAGCAGCATTTTATTGCATCTCTTGATGCTCGGAAGGTTCTTTATTCAGTGAAGCTAGCTTGATTACTAGCGATTAATTGTAGGCGGTTCGTCTGGCATCATCGGGATCATTTTGACAATGTCCTACTGAGGCGCATGTGTTCTCGTGCATTTACCTTAATTTCTCGGTAAGTAGAGCACTGCTGTTGATAATATTGTCGTTTTAGATGTCATACATTGAGATTTCACTCTGACAGATTGTTATCTGACTTAGATTGTTATCCCTTTAAGGCAAAGGTCTGATATGCTTCAAATGCCAAAATGGACTGGTGTCCCGTGGCTACAACTTCAACACGAGTGATGCAAAAAATGCTCATCACGTGATGCAGTCACCTCACGATGTCATCATAACATGGCAGATTGCCAAAATTTGTGAGGTCATTATGACATTATTGTGATGCGACAGAAAGACATCGTCGCTTGGTCAAAGGTTGGCCAATGGTGGGAGCAGTGCAAAACCAGGTGAGGTGCTTCTGATCGTAGAGGCATTGGAAAACCACGTTAGGTACAGAAAGCTTTCGGGCGGTGGCAGGACAGGATCAGTGCATCGACTGCGTAGAGAAAAAGACATGTCATCACCGTCTATGAGTCATCCTACGTGAGTGAAAAAGGAGGTCCTGTGTGTTCTTTACAAAAGTATGTGTGCACAGCATAGCCAATGAGGTCATGCAGTTTACACTTCTCAAGCGTGTCGTCAATGTGCTGTAAGGCATTGCTTCACCCACACCGCATTTGTGCACAAACACCACGTAGCAATATGATGAGCACATTTAGATGCTTCTGTTTTATAGGTAGGTACTCGTGTATGATACATAAATGCGCTGAAAATATTTCCACGCGCGGCTCTTGTTTCATTTTTTATGTATTGATGTTTCATCTACAAAAACGGTAAGCAACGCTCAGCGCAGGCAATGTTCAGGAAGCTTCACGGTTGTTTGAGATTACAATGTCAAGATTACATGCTGAACGTGAAAAGCCAAGTTTACTCCAGAGCATGTGCGAGCCCTAGTGATAACGCCAGAAAGTTCGGTGTGGGATGTATAAGAGACAGCAGGCTCCAGCGATGGTCAGTTTATCGAAGGCCGACACTCTGTTTATCGCTATTAGCGTGCGTTATGTATGTCTGTAGTTTGAGTATTAGTTCGCCAGGCACAGGCTCACCCAAGTAGAGAGTTTTGCCTTGAACTTGCAGACTGCTGCCTTTGTCAACACATCAACCACGTGACAATACTCAAACCTTGGTACAGCAAATTATCGGTTATAACAAAGTAAATGAAAAATACCTCTGCTATAGATACAGTGAAAGAAATGTGGGTTTATGAAAATTTTTGGATATGATGAAGTATTTTCGTGGCAGGTGTGACTCTTTCGAGGTTTGAGTGTGTAATTGCGTATCGTGTTATGATGCGGGTGTTTTCTGTTGAAAGAGTTTGCCTACTGGTCCGTACATTCAGCTCTGTCCTTACCTCAGTTGGCAGCAAGCCTTCCTTACTCGACATTTTCTCGCTCGATCAACTGTGGGAATAGCTGAGATGGTGTCTTGTCGTTCTTCTGTCGTGCAGGACCATCGCGAGCCGCCGTGCGCAAAGGTGTGAGGGGGAGGTTCCCCTGCAAGAAGTGTGGCCGTCGTTTTGACTCCTTGCTGAGGAGGACGAAACACCAGTTGACACACACAGGTGAGCTCTTTGACCCATCCCCTGGAGCAGCGTTGGTGTTGGTGACTGGCTAAACTTGGCAAACTTTCCGTTTGAACAATAAACAACAGCGTAATCTTTAATAATCTCAGAGTATAGTCGCTGTTTAGTTCACACTGCAAGATTGAGACTGCAGAGTTTAGTTCACACTGCAAGATTGAGGCTGCAGGCATAATTCCGTCCTTGATGGCTGCAAATGACTGTACTGTACTAAGTTTAAACCAACCAAGGAACGTGAAGTACAGAAAGTTAACCCTTTCAGGTGCGATCTATTGAGAACTGTTCATAAATGGGTCAATTTTTTACATTATGTAAAGTAACTCAGTATTCTATGTAACCACAAAAATAATGTAATATTACGTTATGTGAGCTTCTATTTATCCTACAGTGATACATGTACTGTTGTTGGTAGGCTTGTGCAAATAGCGAATCTTAAGTTCAAAGCGTATCTCAAGTGAATAGTGATATGGTTCTAATAATTTCGAATCGTATTTGAATAGCGTAATTCACATATTTTAAAGAAAAATGAATGTATCAGTCATAACTGAACTAACCTGCACAATCCTTTTTTTTTTTTTTCAAATTGAAACAATCATGTACAATTGGCATTCTTTTTGGCTCGAAGGAAGTGGAAGCAACTTTGAATAATAGCAGGACTTCGGTAGAATGCAAGCGATGACTTGTTGAACATATTATGTTTAAAAATTCGCTGTATGCAGAGCATATAAGCCAGTATAGGAAGCTTTTAAAATCAAGAAAGAAAGAATAAATGGTACAGTAATATTTTGAAGTGGGGCTTTGCATCAGTGTGCATTTATTGTTATTTTTTTAAAGTGTATTCTTGGTATGGCACCCCTTCACTGCAGCGAAAGCACCTTTACAGGGGTGCTACATGCCAATTAATACACATTTATTTGTTCATATAGGACACTTTGAAATTTCCCCAAATTCGAATTGAAGAGAATTTAAATGCATTAATATTTGTTTGAATATTTGAAGTGCTCAAATATTCATACAAGCCTAGTTCTTGCATAGATAGGTTACGATCTCAGGCTAGAATAGAAATAGAGAGCTGTTTCGTTTCCGATTCATTTTGAACAAAGGAAAATGATCCTTTTGACGTGGCTCGTGAAGACATCGAACGACTCACGAAACTTAGTAGTGCCTTCTGCACGGTCATCATGTACAATACTGCACTTGCAAGATGAACTTGTATGAAGACGCACTTAGTAGTAGGGAGGTTTGATTCATCCAAGCTCAGCGTATCTTGCGCTTCGTTACTCTCTAGTGGACACAACTAGCAAAAACATGCTGTGTACACACATATGTACAAAGCACCTGAGAGGGCTAACCATTTGAGTATAGGAAGTCTTGTACTTTGGCTAAAGTATTAACAAAACGGAAGTATTATCCTCCAACTCTGTACCCAAAATGGTCAGTCACTAAAATTCCTTCATGTGTGACATTGCGCTGCAACAATTGTGCAGTTCTCATTATGCTCTGGGCACAAAATAGACTCTATATTAGGCTTGTGCGAGCACAGTTAGACACCTTCAGAAGAGGCATGCTCCAGGCAGCAATTCTTGTCTTTCATATGTCTCTTATAAGCACGGTACCCCATATGCATTTTCCTATCAATGCACTTTTTACTATTGGCACACTGGTGTCCCTTATACCTGTTTGTCTCTTGCAAAAGGGTTCGACTGTAGTGAATTTGGGGTTCTAAGCAAATTCGAAGCGTGTAATGATCAGATTTGAATGATTTTGAATCTAATTCGAATAGTATATATCGCATACTATAAAGAAAATGAGCACAACTGTCATGACTCAATCAACTTGCACAGCATACTTTTTAAATTCTAAGCAGGCATGTGCAATGCATGTCATTCTTTTTTTGGCTCAAAGGGAGTGAAAGCAACTTTTACTAGTATCAGGATTTGACTTTTGCTAGGATGCGATAACTTGTAAAATACGATACATTTTAAGATTTACTACTCTTAGAGCATATAGGCTGGTATAACAAGCTTTCAAACTTAAAAAATGATCAATCAACGTTAGGGTAATGTGTTCATTTAGCCTTGAAATGAAACTTCGTGGCAGTGTAGATTTCCCCTGGACAGTTGAACTCATGGTGCAGCACCTTTGACTGCCTCTACTTCACTGAAACCATCCTCACAGAAGGGGTACATGCGGATTAATATACACCTATTTGATCATTTCGAATACTTCAAAATTTAAATTCGAATACTTAAATTCGAATCGGAGCAAATGTGAGTATCGTAATATTTATTTCAATACTTTCAGTGCTCGAATATTCCCACAAGCCTATTTTATATACTATCGCGCTGCAGAGAACGACTCACTGAAACAAATGCCCTTAAACAAATGCTCATAATTATACCAGTGTGAATAGCTAAGTAGCTCTTCAGTGCTCATACTTTTTTAATGTAAAAAGGATTCAGTCATTTCAATTAGTAATCAGTTTTCTTAGGTTTTCAGCTGGCACAGTGGTACCTATATGTACAAGGGGGATGAAAAAAAATTCAAATGACGGGGCACGCTCTTCGTATCATGCTCTGGTGGCCTTGGTGGCAATAGCAAATTTGACTGATCCCATACTTTGTGGGAATCGGTTCCATGCATTCAGTGAGTGACTGTCTATGGGAGATTTTTCGGCTTTAAGCCAAGCGTTCATGTATTTATTTATGTATTTATTTATTTATTTAACTTTTTGTTATTAGTACTTCAAAAGCCCCATAAGGGGTATTATATGAGAGGTGGGTATAACTAGTACATGATGGTTTCGGTTGATGCCTTGAAAGATGTGTGGCTGTAGCGGTGCACCACGTCGGCAGGAACAAGATTCTATATCTTTGCAGCCTGAACAGAAAATGATCTCACATGGGCTGTAGTGCAGGCTGCCGGGGTGCAAACTGCTTTTGGGTTGTCATGATGGGATGAACGATACAAGGGTTCAGTATTATTCTGCTTACGTAAAATGTCATAGAACTTATGAAAAAGACATGATACTGCAGTGTTGTGGCGCTGCTGAAGGGTTTGAAGATGACGACATGACTTCAGTTTGGTGACACTGGTGTGATAAGAATAATCCGAAAGAACAAGCCTAGCCGCACGATTTTGTATGGATTCCAGCACAGATGAGAGGTTAGTTTGATGTGGGTCTGAAACTGAGCAAGCGTACTAAATTTCGTTCGAACAAGCAATAAGTATGCTAGTAGTTTTACTGGGGAGGAACAAGGCACAGGTTACGACGCAGATAGTCAAGCATGTGATAAGACGAGTTTGTGATGTTAGAGATATTGTCACGAGGTTGTGAAACACGCAGCACTTGAGAGGAAGCACGCAGGAGTCAGGGCGGTGTCAGGCGAACTGTTTATTGGGCGAACTTGTGCCCAGCAAAACGGGGCCAAACACAACTCATAGCAACAGCGGCGTGGACAGTCGTCGGCCGACGGAAAAAAAAAAAGAAAAGACCCCCAGTGGCGCACTGCGCCGGCTTTTTATACACGCGTCGTAACGCGTTCCAAAGTGGCATACAAGATAAACGCGGCCTGCGTTGCGCTTAACAGAAAGTGATAGCGTCTTCCTTCGCAAACGAAAAGAACCGCACGTGTCAGTTTTTTATACACGCGTCGTAACGCGTTCCAGAGTGGCATACAAGATAAACGCGGCCTGCGTTGCGCTTAACAGAAAGTGATAGCGTCTTCCTTCGTAAACCAAAAGAACCGCACGTGTCACTACCCCCCTCTGAAAAAGCATCGTCCCGATGCTAAAGACAGAACATAAGAGAGAGTACATGCAATAAATTACATTAACAATGCGTCACAGCTAATCAGCGCGCGTAATAAGGTTTAAGTCGCACCACGTGTACGACTTCGGGTCGTGCACGGCGTCGCTGGGATGACGTTAAGCCATCGGGCACGACCTCATAGTCCAGTTCACCACGACGTCGGACTACCTTGTAAGGTCCAAAGTAGCGTCGCAGGAGCTTCTCAGACAATCCCCGTCGTCGTATCGGCGTCCAGACCCAGACAAGGTCACCTGGTTGGTATTCGGTGTGGTGTCGTCGAAGGTTGTAGTGGCGCCTGTCGACCGTCTGTTGGCTCTTGATACGCAGGCGGGCTAGCTGTCGAGCTTCTTCAGCGCGATCCAGGTAGCTGGCGACGTCGAGGTCTTCTTCGTCGGTGCCGACCGGTAGCATGGCGTCAAGCGTCGTTGTTGGGCTCCGTCCGTAGACGAGCTTGTATGGAGCAAACTGCGTCGTTTCCTGCACGGCCGTGTTGTACGCGAAGGTTACATACGGGAGTATGGCGTCCCACGTCTTGTGCTCGACGTCCACGTACATGGCCAGCATGTCGGCGATGGTCTTATTTAGACGCTCGGTGAGGCCATTCGTCTGTGGGTGGTACGCGGTGGTTCGGCGGTGGCTTGTCTGACTGTACCTCAAGATCGCTTGCGTTAGGTCAGCCGTAAAGGCCGTACCTCTTTCGGTGATGAGGACCTTGGGGGCTCCGTGGCGGAGGACGATGTTCTCAATGAAGAACATGGCGACCTCGGCGGCAGTGCCCTTGGGCAAGGCTCTTCTTTCGGCATAGCGGGTGAGGTAGTCAGTCGCTACGACAATCCATTTGTTGCCAGAAGTTGACGTCGGGAACGGCCCCAGTAAGTCCATGCCGATTTGTTGGAATGGCCGTTGAGGTGGTTCGACGGGTTGCAGAAGTCCGGCTGGCCTAGTTGTCGGCGTCTTGCGTCGCTGACAGTCTCTGCATGTTTTTACGTAGTGGGCGACGTCGGCAGCGAGGCGAGGCCAATAGTACTTCTCTTGTATTCGTGACAGTGTGCGGGAAACACCAAGATGTCCGGCTGTCGGGTCGTCGTGTAATGATTCCAGAACCTCTGGACGTAACGCTGAAGGTACCACGAGGAGTTGGTCGGCGCGGAGCGGCGAGAAGTTTTTCTTCAGGAGGACGTTGTTTCGCAGGAAAAACGAAGCCAGTCCTCGGCGGAATACTTTCGGCACGTCGGCGGTCTTGCCTTGCAGGTAGTCCATGAGGATCTTGAGCTCCGGGTCAGCTCGTTGGCGTTCCGCGTAGTCGTCGGTACTTATAGGTCCCAGGAAAGAGTCGTCGTCCTGGTCATCCTGGGGCGGCAGATCGACAGGGGCGCGAGACAAGCAGTCGGCGTCGGAGTGCTTTCGTCCGCTCTTGTAGACGACGGTGATGTCAAATTCTTGTAGTCTGAGACTCCACCGTGCGAGGCGCCCTGATGGATCCTTCAAGTTAGCTAGCCAACACAAGACGTGGTGGTCACTCACGACTTTGAAAGGCCTGCCGTACAGGTAGGGGCGGAACTTTGATGTAGCCCAGATGATGGCAAGGCATTCCTTTTCTGTCGTGGAATAATTGGCTTCTGCCTTCGAAAGTGACCGGCTAGCGTAACTGATGACCCTTTCAAGTCCGTCGGTCCTCTGCACGATCACGGCGCCGAGCCCTGTGCTGCTTGCGTCCGTGTGAATTTCGGTGTCAGCTTCTTCGTCGAAGTGCGCCAGTATTGGCGGCGTTTGCAGGCGTCGCTTTAATTCTTGAAATGCCTCGACTTGCGGCGTTTCCCATTTGAAGTCGACGTCGGCCTTCGTGAGGTACGTCAGTGGCTCGGCGATCCGCGAAAAGTTCTTCACGAAGCGCCTGTAATAAGCGCAGAGGCCAAGAAATCGGCGTACTGCTTTCTTGTCGGTGGGTGCAGGAAAGTCGGCGATCGCAGCTGTTTTCTGTGGATCAGGGAGCACTCCCGACTTGCTGATAACGTGGCCAAGGAACAATAGTTCCTCGTAGGCGAAGCGGCACTTTTCTGGCTTCAGGGTAAGTCCCGAGGCTTTGATTACCCGAAGAACAGCTTCAAGGCGCCGGAGGTGCTCGTCGAAGTTGGAAGAAAATACGACTACGTCGTCCAAGTAGATGAGGCAAGTCTGCCACTTCAAGCCTGCGAGTACTGTGTCCATAACCCGTTGGAACGTCGCAGGCGCCGAGCAAAGACCAAAGGGCATGACCTTAAACTCGAATAGGCCGTCTGGTGTTATGAAGGCAGTCTTCTCTCGGTCTCTCTCGTCTACTTCGATTTGCCAGTAGCCGGTTTTGAGATCCATCGACGAAAAATACTTGGCGTTGTAGAGTCTGTCCAGAGCATCGTCTATCCGTGGGAGGGGATACACGTCTTTCTTCGTGATGTTGTTCAGGCGACGATAATCGACGCAAAAACGTAGGGTTCCGTCCTTCTTCTTCACCAACACCACGGGTGATGCCCACGGACTCGTAGACGGCTGAATGATGTCGTCACGCAGCATTTCGTCGACTTGTTGCTTGATGGCCTCGCGTTCCCGTGCAGAAACTCGGTAGGGGCTCTGACGGAGCGGACGGAGGGTAGGGGCTTGGCTCACGGCTGGACGGGGGCGTACGGTACATGGACCGAGAAGCACCTCCACCAGATGTCACGAGGTTGTGAAACACGCAGCACTTGAGAGGAAGCACGCAGGAGTCAGGGCGGTGTCAGGCGAACTGTTTATTGGGCGAACTTGTGCCCAGCAAAACGGGGCCAAACACAACTCATAGCAACAGCGGCGTGGACAGTCGTCGGCCGACGGAAAAAAAAAGAAAAGACCCCCAGTGGCGCACTGCGTCGGCTTTTTATACACGTGTCGTAACGCGTTCCAAAGTGGCATACAAGATAAACGCGGCCTGCGTTGCGCTTAACAGAAAGTGATAGCGTCTTCCTTCGCAAACGAAAAGAACCGCACGTGTCAGTTTTTTATACACGCGTCGTAACGCGTTCCAGAGTGGCATACAAGATAAACGCGGCCTGCGTTGCGCTTAACAGAAAGTGATAGCGTCTTCCTTCGTAAACCAAAAGAACCGCACGTGTCAATATGAACGGACCAAGTAAGGTTATTGCATAAGTTAACACCAAGGTATTTGTATGATGAAAATTCCCCTATTTCCGAGCCACCTATCATGTATTTAGTAGAAATGAATGTTTGATGAGGATGAAAAGTTAGATGGGCTGTTTTTCTTAGGTTAATGGACACTAGCCATTTGTTACACTAGGATTTTATGGAAGAAAGGTCATACTGTAGAGTGAGGATGTGAGCGTTGTTAAGCATAAGACAATAAATTACATAATCAAACAAATAGATTTTAGAAGAACGACCATTAGGTAAGTCGTTATTATATATTAGAAAAAGCAGCAGTGCCAGAACAGTGCCTTGTGGCACGCTGGAAATAACATTATAAGGAAGAGGAGTGTAACGTCGCCCCTGGTCTTGGAATCACAGCCTTTGACGGCACAACGAGTGGGTGGCATCGCGAAACAGGGATACGGTGATCGAAACAACAATGAAATCACACTCGCATCCTTTTGCACACAACAGAGGTGTCTCAGCGCTCAAGCACTGTTGATGTGACCACAAAGCGTCGCCACAAAATGGACAGCCCACAGCACAACTACAAATGACGCCGGTTGGCGGCGCACCGCTAGATGGGCAGTTGAGAAGGTGCGCCGGTTGTGCTTTCTTTCATTTTATTTTTGTCATTATCCCAACACGCGCACATTTACATGACATCACAATTTTCTGTGCACCTGACTTGAAACGTCAAGCACTTTGCCTGACAGTGGAGCTGCCTTGCAGGAACCGGGAGATGAAAACTTTAAAATTAAATTAAAATGTTTTATACGAGTTTCCCGGTTCTAGTGTTGGGAGAATGTTAACACCACATTCCAAGGAAACGAAAAATGTCCGTTTTGCCGCACCTCAAAATTGTGTCAGTACTCCTCTAAATGTGTTCATTCTCACGAAGTGGGGTGTTAATGCATCTTGTGTACAGTGACGCGTGGTTCGGGGTTATTGGGGCGATAGATATAGAGATGAGTCTAGTGGTGAATTGTTCGCAAAAAGTAGTTTAAGAAATTCCAGTCTCTGCGTCTGTATTCTCATCTCGAGTGGTTCAATATGGTCAGCTTTCATGAGTTCTGTGGGTGAATCCTGTCTTGAGAATTAGTGAAAGATAAATCTTACTGCCTTTTGCTGCAATCTTTCGAGATTATTGATATTAGTTTTAGTATACAAGTATATTATAGTTTAGTTATGATTAGGGTGTTATAGCATAGCAGTTTTACATCGAATGGTGCTTCTTTAAGTTTTTGCCTCAGGAGGGATAATTTTCTGAAGGATGAGGTGCAGCTATTACTTATGTGGTCATTCCATGTTAACGTGTTGTTAAAGGTGACTCCTAGATACTTGTATTGGGTTATTTCATGTAGGGGGGATGAACCTGATTTATACGTATGAAGCAAAGGTGATTACTTGTGTGTCATTCGCAAATTAGTATGCTTTTATCTGTGTCTAGTGTCATTCCCCAGTGCATGCACCATTCAAAAATAGTATTCAAAATACTCTGTAGACTAGTCTGGTCATAGACTAAATGAATGGCTTTGAAAAGCATGCAGTTATCAATGAATAATTGAATCTGGACACCGCTTTCAACCATGTTCACAATGTCATTAATATGTATATAAAATAAAAAGTAGAGGGCTGAGGACACTGCCCTGCGGCACACTCGATGCGACTGGAAGAGATCCCGATTTTCCACCATGAATTTCTTCAAATTGACGCCGGTTTGACAGATATGCAGCAACCCAAGTAATAAACAACCCGGGAACTCCTGAATTTTACAAGTTTCGGAATTAATTTATCGTGAGGGACAATATCGAAGGCTTTTCGCAAGTCTAGAAAAATTATGTCGATTTGTCTGTTTTTGCCAAGATTTGATGCAAAGGAATGAACAACAGAGATTGGCTGTGTGACAGTCAAATGCCCCCTCCTAAACCTGTGATCAGTATATCTCTGAGCAGTCAGTTGTTAATGCTTGCTTTCCCAGGATCGGCAAGAGGTGCCACAACCCTAGAGTGCAGCGAATGCAAACGGAAATTCTCCAGCAGGCTCACGCTGGCTGAGCATCAGGTAAAGCATTTATTGTTGACTCAGGCTTCAAAATATGCACATTACTATGATTCTTGTAAAATGTGAAATTCATCTGTGGAATCTTTTGCAAAAGCGGCCAATGCATTAGTTCGTTAGCGCTTGAAATTTCACAAAACGATTTATTAAGTCATCAAGTTGTTAATGTCACGTTTTGAATACCTTGTTTGGTAATATAACCTGTTTTTTCCGCTCCCCAAAGAAACATTAAGAATATGTATCATCTGTAGTAACACCAGTGAAAGAGATGCAAATTTTTCAGGGACATAGGTGTGGTGTCGTGACTTACTATAATGATGATCAACAAGTGCAATTTTATTTCAAATGATGTTAGAAGGCAGAGTTTTCGTTGCCATAGTGTTGGCATGCATCTCTGTGTTGCTAGAAGTGATATGATTGTGTTAGTTGAGACATCGCGACTCACATAGTGGGGATTAGCACGTATAGCTGCGCTGAATACAACTTTCAACGCGGGAGTGCAGGGCCTCACGAGTTTAAAAATTGCGCATGGCTTTCACTGGCCCTTATTTTCATTGCTAAAGGTGTTTCTCTCATTTGGCTGTGATGCCAAATAAGAAAATAATATTTAGTTTTTAAAAAAAAAACAAGTAGCCATGCCCAACCTTTGAAATGAGGTCACGCGCTTCCATGTTGCGAGTCGTACGGTTGATGAAAATACTAAATGCGAGAGGTGGAGAGCATGGCTTTTGGCATGGTTAGTTGAACCCAGTGTTGGTCGGCTAGTCTAAGGATATGTGTAATTCTGATCTGCCTTGTTCTATTATTAGGTGGATCAATGCTTTCAGTTGGTGTCACTGCCACACTAGAACCTTATTCCAACTGGCAATGTTTTCATCTGCCTGTCATGCCTAATACCAGCTGGAACAAGACGTCTGAAATAAGAAGAGTGCCATCAGTGGAAAGCACCAATATTGAGGCATACCGAAGTTAGACACAGACCCTCAAGCTAGCCGACTAATGCTAGGCTGCGCTGACCGTGCCAGAGGCCATGCTTTCTGCTCCTTGTGTTTCATTTCTGATCAGTAGTAACTGCACGTACTAAGCCAGTACGCTATGTAACACTAGTGATGTCTCCATCAAGTACAGTAGACTCCCATTAAATAAAACTATCTTATATGAAATTGCTGCTTAAATGGAACAACTGCCTCTAGTTTTGTACTTGAATATTGTACCCCTGTTTACCCCTTGGTAAATGAACTTCCTCCTAAACGAAACACATTTTCCTGGTCCCGTCAGGTATCGTTTGAAAAGGAGTCTACTGTAGTTCAGTTGCTTGCATTGCTGTGAGCACCAACCCATGGGGGATGTAGCTTTTGGAGACGAATAAGTTATCAAAGAAGGAAGTGTTTTTTTTTTTTTTTTACAGTATGGAGATTCTTTTACGTATAAAACTTGTATTACAAGACCAGTATCCGCAGTTTAGATATGTGCAACAAGTACAAGCTGAATGCTTAATGTGTTTGTGTTAACAGCTTGTTGGACTGACATGTCATGTGACTCATAACGTAGAACAGCTAGGGCTGCTGTAATTCTTTTTTTGACATAACGCTCAATTTGTGTATCGCAGTGTGCTGAGGGAAAAAATCCTGATTTTCTGCTCATAGATTTTTTGAAATTCGATTTTTCCTTATGGTAGTCAAGACACAAACCTTGAATTTCAATCATCTACTGAACGACTACAGTTTAACCCCTTTATGACAGGCATGCACCAGAGAGCAACTCCAGTCCCTCATCTGAGGTGTTTCTTATGAGCAGAGTACCACATATGCCCCTTTTTTATCAGCCTCTGTTTCAATGTAGGCAGGCTGGCATCTTTTGTACCCATTTTCTTCTACATCAGTGCCTCTTATGAAGGCGTTCGACTCTAGTTATAATTTGATCTGAAAACTGTTTGCAGCATTGCACTCAGTGCATATTATAGTGCAATCAGACCTCATTATAACAAAGTTGCACTTACACGAAAATAATTTTGTTATATCTGAAAATTCTTTGTAAAGATTTATACCTAACACTATGGCTATTGCAAGACTATTCTTCCCTTTCTTATAACCAATATTTCGTTATATCCGTGTTGTATCAAAGTTTGAGTGTTTCTACGCTGTCTGATAATATGCACATTCTGTTGAATAGTTTTTTTCCTATTGTCTCAAGAAGCAAAAAAGAGGCAGCTTGTTTTTTCTCGTAAACCAGTTTACCTATATCTGAAATCAGCATGAAAATTTAAAAGGGCCCTGAAGCGCTTGTTCAAGTAACCATGGAATGGATTCACTAAAAGAGCTTATTGTCTCACGAATTCATGGCCGCGAAAATTTTGAGAATCTGTTCAGTACAAAGGACAGTTACAAAGATTTGTCGCACACTGTAGTCACATTCTCTCTTTTCTCGTCCCGACGAAAGCACTGAAAGCTAAGCAGAGAGGGACAGCATGGGCAAATAAAAGTGTCACATGCGCCTCGTGACCTTGAGCAGTTTTCTTCTTTTTTCTAATATGTTGCTTTTTTAATGTGATCGTGCACGCACGTACAGACAAGTCGCGGTCTCCTACGATGATCCATGTAATGACCGAACGCGCTATGTTCAAGCCAACCAATGGCTGATAGAAGGGCTGTTACGAGGCATTTCTGAGCTTCTTCCGTCATTTGTCAAGAGAAGAGAAATCAATTTTCAGCTGACTTTGATAATTCATTGTGAATTCCAGGCTGGGTGCTGCGCTATTATATCTGGCTAGCGTGTTCTTGGGGAGCCTCTGCTACTAATCGGCAGCGTTTTCTGACCCTTCTCAAAAAGTTTTGCATAGCCCGTTTAAAAATTTAAATAAAATTTGGACACAAGATACAGCAAATATCCTCATAAGCCATGTGTTCCCTTAATGTCGTGAACTGCCTTCAACAGTTGTCGCGCTTGAATGTCTGGATTGACCGGGAACAATGCACGTTTCCCTCCAGGCATGGCACGAGAACCGGATGCTGTACTCGTGCCCCATCTGCGGACGGCAGTTCCGTCAGAACGCTGGTCTGTGGCGCCACCAGATGACGCACAACCGGGACGTCCAAAAGCGGCGCTACCCTTGCCCCAGGTGTGGCCAAGACTTTGCCAGACCGGGCTATCTGAAAGAGCACCTGGCCTCCCACGAAGAGTCGCACAGGAGCCGCTTCGCATGTGATGTTTGCCAGCGGACTTTCTTCCAGAGGTGTGATCTGAGCCGCCACCGGAAGACGCATGACGGTAAGCAGCAGTTCGAGTGCGCCATCTGCAAACGAGGTTTCTCGAGCCTGGCAAGCCAGAGACGGCACGAGAAAGAACACGACCCAGCACGGAAGGCACCCTGCCCTGAGTGTGGAGCAACATTCACGCGCCCCTGCCAGCTGAAGGTGCACATCGCGAAATACCACGGCGACGCGATGCTTTTGAAACCACTAGTGCCGAAAAAAAGACCGGGCCAGTCCACAGGTGCACTTAGAATGGAAAGAAAGCTTCTGTCACAACATTGCGACAACAGTGCTGCGCTACAGAGAATAGACGGTAACACCACAGACGGTCTGCCGACTCAAGCCAAAGGCATGAAATATTCTCTTCTGAGGGAAAAATTGACAACTCCGGTTGATGTAGCACCCATGAGCATTTTACAGATCTGCAGCAGCTCTGAACTGAATAGAAACCCTGGGCAGCTTCAAGAGCAGCATTCAATATGTGGCAGCACAGCAACTGAGTTCGGTGCTAGCTGTGCACTTTCAAGTAATGTAACAGCACAGTCCAAAGAGCCAACAGAGCAAACGCCGACGGGTATGGGAAGGTTGGCAATACTGCGAGGTAGTGGTTCTGCAGTTTCAGAGGCGGCAGACCTGGCGGACAAGCTTCAGTGCTCGCTCAAGGAACTGCCAATAGAGGGAATTCAAGGCGACCTCCGTGCCGAGTCTGGGACTAACTTTGTGGACCATCCTGACTTTCAGAGCCAGGCTTATTACGATTGGCTGTCACGCTTCACGTCCACCTGTAACCTTGCTGCGGTGCCTCTAGACACGGAGATGTTAAAGAAGGTGAACCAAGTGCTCAAGGCCGTCAGCGACGCACTCGCGACGCCGTTGGGTGCGCTCGCCTGTCGTGAGAACTTCACGGCCTTGCTTGGCATTCGGGAGGACCTTTATAGAACTGTTAGAAGCCACCTCGACTATGTGCTCGGAACTTTGAAACCATCATGGTCATCACATTTTTGAATTAACGTGATAGGCAAGGTTCGCAGTGCAGTTGAAAAGCCACCGGTAATCTCTTCGTGTTATACTCCATTATTGAGTATAAATAATTAACTCATTCAGTAAATGCTATTCTAATTTAAAAGGTGTCATTTAGGTGAGCAATTATTGAGTTTTACTCTTGACATCTTCTTAGGGGGGGGACACGGGTCTTAAAAGGCCGAAAATCGCGAAAAAACTGACTTTTTGGAGTTGGCATTTTCGGAATCTGCAACTATTTTTGCACCTATCTGAGAAGTTTCAAGCTTCTAGAGTCATTATTTCTGGCACAAGATCAATTTATAACATCCCTGTGAGATGAATCTGAGGTCAAATAGACGCTAAAGTCGCGCTTTTTCCACTCCGAACCATTGCCGTTACACATGAGCTATCGTAGTCATCTTGGTCTCGTTTGGAAGGGTCGTTCGTCATCTTCGATTTCCCGCCACCAGTGGCTCGCCTTGCTCATTAGTTTTTCAGCAAAAACGCGTCATCGAGAAGCACTACCGCGCAATTCTATTGGCTGCTTGGGGCACGTGACAAAACCTAGGCACCCCATTGGCCAAGTGGCGTTTCCGGCGTCTGCTTTTTAATTGTGACGCGCACGGACATGCGCCATTTTGTCATGGTGCTGTCGACTGCCTGCCGCAATAAAGGAGTTCCTCGCCGCACTAATTTGTGAAGCAGTGTGGCATTCGTTCGTTCGCTGTGAACCTCAGAAAGAGCCCCGCAATGACAGGGAGGATAGCAAACTCGCGGCGTTCAACGGCGGTCGCCGAGTCACCAGTGCAGGTCTAACTGACGTACGAGCCTGTCGGTTGTCGACAACGTCGCTGAAAGCGGCAGTGTTTTGGAGCTTCAACAGTTACAGGACGGCAAGTAAAAAAGCAGAAGTGAAGCTACGAAAGATAGCAATCTTTGCAACGATGGAACAGAAGCGCAGTCTTAACGCTAAACGCGCCGATGCCGCGAGTACCCCCGTCTAACGTGAACTGCGTGACGGGACGTCAGAGTGGAGTTAGCCGCGCGTCGGCAAAAAACAAAAAAATCAATCCGTTTACGGTGAACATGGTCGCCGCACTCGCAATGAAGGCTACTGGCAACAGGTAGACTGCTTGTAACGACGCGTCTGCAACTATGAACATATTGCGCCACGGCCTCCACTCGAAAAAGTGGCAATTTTGCGTGAAAAGGAAACTAACATCTCGCTGCTCTTGGAGCCTTGAAATTGATAAGCGAGTGCACGAGTTTGGTCTGCGACATCAACAACTCAATCTGGACAAGCCAGAAAGTCGCTTTATTATACGACGGATCACGGATTACGTGCGCACATTCGTCGCACATAGGCGTCACCGAACTGATAAGTGGCCTAGTCGGCAGACGAGCACACGGCGACCGCATCAGCTCGCGAAAAACATGCAGCAGGCATTTAAAAAACGCCATTTAGGTGACGTAAAACAGAAGGACTACATGCCTGGTGTCTACTGAGAAAGCTGAATTTGCAAATCATTGTAAATGAACAGCTTTTCCATGCAACTGTCTGCCCAAAATGGACTTGTTGTGTTTTTGCATGATTTCTCAGGATTCAAATTTTGCTGCAGTTGCAAACTTGCCTGAAAGATATCTCTGCCTCCAGAGCAGCTAGCACTGTCATTTTTATTGTGACATGTAGCTGTATCTTTAGTTGACACAATGGTAGGTGTGAATTTTTGATTGAGATCTTCAAAAAATTTGCTTTTTGCCAGAAATCGGAGCATAAAGTGGGTGTGTCTGCAACACTGAAATGCAAAATGCGACAAACCTTGCTGAAATTATCAAATAAAAAAAAAGCACTCCTACCGTTGTGTAGCTTACGTTCATTAGTACACAGGCATGTGCCAACAGTAGCTCTGCAATACAAATTTCTTGTGGGCATATACCGGCATACAATAGGTAATTAATTTTAGGATATCTCAAAAACTAATTGGTTTAAAGGAACAGTAATTACATTTTTGAAATCAGCATCAAAAACTCAATCACACTGGGAATTTTCTTTATGAACACATGAAAATATCTGGCATTTCATCCCAAGTACAGTGTCCCCCTTTCATTGACGGAATGCCCCTTTCATTGACGGAATGTGAATGAGGGGCTTATCGACAGTTGCAAGAAACATAAAAATGCGATGCTTTCAGGAAAATGACTGAATACCTTCTGCAATACTTTTTGTACACAGCAATTCTTATGGGTGTGATTACATAACCACGCTAAATTTTTTTATGCAGTAGACTCTATAGAAATCTGTTTACTGAAACAGAAAACTATGACCTCTGCAATGCTTGTATTCTGCACCCATGTTCACCTCTCAGTAAACGGAACTCCTGTTAAATGGAACATATTTTCCCGGTCCCTTCAGGTTCCGTTAACTGAGAGTCTACCGCACTTTGTGAGCCTTCTCTTAATGCAGCTAGAAAAATTGAGCATGCATATTATACTTTGCTATTGAATTTACTAGCTTGTAATTTAAGTGGCTGCTTGTGACCGTATAAAGTTAACAATACAACTCATCAAACTGCCACCATCATCAACAAGAATGCTATTGCCTATTCAATTTACTGTGAATGCTGCTTTGTTTTATTCCGACAAATATTCATAGCAATAGTTATTGCCTCATTTTAGCTGGCCGACCCGAATATTTTTATATATACTGTGGGGTCTCGAATTGGCTAGCGAGCGTCACGCCACGCTCTTGGAGTGAACGAACACAGTAGACGCGGTCAGTACAAACCAAACAAGAACATACATTTATTCAACTAATTTAGATGTCCATATCGTCTGCTGAATCGATACACCAGTCGTTATCAACACGCTAGGACATCCGTACACACTATTACCATACACTCCATGACAAACACAATAACACGACAAACACACTATAATATGACAGACACAATAACACACCCAAGGCGGCGGCGCCAACACTTGAATTACCACGAGGGCCCCCGGCGCACGACCCGCGGTGCCGAGCACCGGGGACCCACACTAGAGACAACCGTCCGCGGCAACCGTCACGCGCAGAAGAGACTCACTCAACTCTGGCCCGTCACCAAGGCTTACTTTCCGCCAGGGGTTACCACCGGCGCTACCACTGTAACAACCATGGTGATGATTGCGGTGCCCAATGCGAATACAATGCCACCTACCGCCCGGTGGTTGTAACGCTAAATGCGGCTTTAGGGCGAGACACGTGCACCACGCAGCACAAACAACTTTACAAGGGGTGTCAGCACCCCCACAATACATTACGTTCAGGCTTAAAAGAATAATAATTTAGTTCTTTCTCACTGGTGCATGTAAAGCTTGAATCATCCTGTCTCTTATTTTCGTTGTGTTCTATTCTCAGCTTAATCTACATCGCGAATCCTTCCTTTAATGAAGCCTTTGTCTTTGAATAACTGGCCTTCAAGCATTTACTTCATGTAACTCGGGTTCACACAACAGTATTGGTGAACATTGGAATGGAATTTTCATTCCTTGATTGGTGTGCTTCTAGTCAAGAAGCTGTCGGGCATCTAGAAGTGCAAGCGAAGCTGAAACGGAGAAGGCTGTGTGTGCAGCGCAATGTCACCAGGATGGTGGCTCTTATGTTTCCCTCTTTGTACTCTAAATGCTGTTGCCTGCTCGGTGTGTTTTTGTGGCGCTATTTCATGACAATGCCTTTTCTGGTGACAACGCATTTTTGTGCAGTGTATGATTTTTATGGGCAGTTATAGCCTTCTGAATAAGTTATTGTAAGAACAGCACATCTTTAACCATATCACGAAACTTTGTGCAGTGTTATTTTAATAAATTTTCATCATTAAGTGTCTACTCTGTGCATTCTTGTTTCTTTCTATAGTTTTTATTTAATTTGTACTTTGCAAACGGTAAGTTATGAGAAGAGATGTTTTTGTAAATGAAGATAAAATGATGTTATAAGAGCAGTTTTGGGCACACAGGCTTTTTAGTGCTCCCGAAATGTCAAAGTGAAGACTTTAGATATTCCAGATTGTGCAGAGTAGACAGTAATCACTGTGCTAAAATAGTCTCTTAAGCAACCTCACAGGATCAAGAGCAACTACAAACTGCAGAGAAATTTCACTGAAGTTAAATTAGTAATAAGGGAATACCGTATTTACTCGCGTAATGAACCCACCTTTTTTTTTTTTTTTTCAGAAAAGTTGACGCCAATTTATGGGGAGGGTTGATTACACGGGGGAAAAAAGTCATGGGAGTTATAACAGTGAAAATTTCGGGTGATGACTTTGCTTGTTTCGACTTGTGAAATGCGCGACAAATCTTTTTTGTAGGCCGAATCTCTTTTTATTTCATCCTGTAACGAAAGTGCATGGATAGACGCCAAAGGTACAGCCGCTCGGTTTCAATGCTCCAGCGCATGCTTTTAGTAACCAGCCGTGTAGCTAACCTACCGGCCAAACGCGCGCTGCACAGCAGGCGTCCCAACCAAGTTTACAACGGCAAAAACGCAGCGTCGTATGGCAGCGCACAAATGTTGTGTGAGATGCTGCAGGTGCACAACGCACCATCGGCCCGGTGGGTGTGGTTACGCTTTGTATAGGTGCCAGATGGCGAGCGTGCCACATGTTCTATGGCGCAGGGCGAGCGCCATTTTGGATGCCACGTGCTTCGTTTTTGTGTCGCTCTGTTTCCGTGGCGCTGTCAGCAAAGAGGTTTCTCCTGCATTTGACAGATGGTGCTTTGTCGTACAAGGTGCGATACAAGGCTAAAAGATATGGCGGATGAGTCGAGAGAAAGGCCCTGAGGTGGTGGAAATAAACAGAGAGGTGCATTAATGGGGTAGTTTTGAACGAGACAGAATTCATTTCGATGAGAGGCTAGGTCATGAGGTGGGTTGGCGACTTGCAGGACGCGCAGTAGTTTTTTGGGGGGCACGCGGGCCCTTCAGGGTCCAGGATAGCTAGTAGCGAGAAAAACAACTAGGGGGACTCTTTGACAGGTGGTATGGACAGGTAAGATTCCAAAGTGGCACCAATATCTAAGACAGCTAGAGTCCAGGGCAGAAATAGACGTAGCCACGAGCGCCGAGCCAATTCAGACATAGGGTATATTAACATGCAGGATGGCAGGAACAGGCTGAAGTGGGAAGAGATAGAAGAACAGCTAAGGGAGGAGGGGCCGATGGTATACGGTTTTGTAGAAACACATCTCAGGGACATGGAACAACCTCCTAACAATGCAGACTATGCGTGGGAATATTGTAATAAAACAGAAGACAGCAAAAAGGGGGGTGGTATTGGGGCAAAAGACTGTAAAGTGTTCAGGATGTGGGGTGGGCGTGAAAACCGATCCAAGTGCAGAAGAAAATGAACAGGAGGCTGACGCGAAGTGTAGGCAATGTGAGGTTGAGGAAAAAAATGGAGGAAACGATGGTTGCCCAGAGTGAACTGCTGATGAGAATCACCGAGCTGGAGACTGCGTTGGCGGCAGAGGCAAGAGAAAACGAGGGCAATGGGAGAAAGGCTGAATTCCGCCGAGTAAGCACTAGCCAAGAAGAACAAAGGAGCGGATAACGGAGAGAACAGTAAGGCACCGGCAACCAGAACAGCGGAAAAGAAAGAGCAAACAAGTTTGGAAAAAACAGGTTCAGCCGGTTCAATTGTCGCAAGGCCCAGCTTCAGCGAAGTAGTGGTGGGGCTGGGAGGAGACAAAGCAGCCGGCGTCACAGGTGCAAGTAACCCCCACGTGCAGGACGCTCCAGCTGAAAAGTTACAGCATGTGATAATCCCCAGGGACTCGAATTGAAATAGATGCACAGAAGCCATCAAAGAGAGGGTAAGAGGTGACAAGAGGGTTGCAGTAGGGGCGTTCACAGGACGCAAGCTGGAAGCAGTCATGAGGCAAGCGAGCGCAAAACTCAAAACTACAGCTGATAGACGAAACCTCGTGATAATTTCAGGTGGTTTAAACGATGTCTTAAATGAAGATACAGCAGGACTAGCAACCACACTCACAAAAGGCGTCGATGACATGCGCGCCACTTCTCCTCAGGTACAGGTAGTGATATGCACGATACTGGAGGTACCAGTGCGTGATAGCAACCTGCAAAGAGCGGTTGTCAAAGCAGACCAAGAGATATGGCGGATGAGTCGAGAGAAAGGCTTTGAGGTGGTGGAAATGAACAGAGAGGTGCATAGGTGGGGCGGTTTTCAACGAGACAGAATTCACTTCGATGTGCGGCTAGGTCATGAGGTGGGTTAGTGACTTGCAGGACGTGCAGTAGCTTTTTTGGGGGGCAAGCGGGCCCTTTGGGGTGCAGGATAGCTAGTAACGAGGAAAACAACCAGGGAGACTCTTTGACAGGTGGTATGGACAGATACGATTCCAAAGTGGCGCCAGTATCTAAGATAGGTAGAGTTCGGGGCAGAAATAGACGTAGCCACGAGAGTCGGGCCAATTCAGAAGTAAGGTATATTAACATGCAGGGTGGCAGGAACAGGCTGAAGTGGGAAGAGGTAGAATAACAGCTAAGGGAAGAGAGGCCGATGGTATA